TGTCCATAAATTCAGCTGAACTAAGTTCTTTGACAACCAAGGAACCTCAGTATATGACAGAAAACACTCTCAACAGCATTCAGATCTTCGAAAACCAAGGCAAACTGGGATCAAATGTACTATTTTTCACAACAGTTATGCTGACAGCAAGGCTTAAGATTTCCAGTAGATTATGGGCAGACTGATGGAAGTCGATGCTTGATGGTGACTGCTGCAGTACATCTTTCTTTCTTTCTTTCAAAATAAATTTATTTATTTATGGCTGTGTTGGGTCTTTGTTGCTGTGCAGGGCCTTCTCTAGTTGCGGTGAGCGGGGGCTACTCTTCTTCATTGTGGTGTGCAGGTTTCTCACTGCGGTGGCTTCTCTTGTTGCAGAGCACAGGCTCTAGGCGCACGGGCTTCAGTAGTTGTGGCATGCGGGCTCAGTAGTTGTGGTTCATGGGCTCTAGAGCGCAGGCTCAGTAGTTGTGGCGCACGGGCTTAGTTGCTCTGCAGCATGTGGGATCTCCCTGGACCAGGGCTCGAACCCATGTTCCCTGCATTGGCAGGCGGATTCTTAGCCACTGCGCCACCAGGGAAGCCCTGCAGTACATCTTGAATGCCAGTTTTCTTGAATTTTTGACAAAGACCCATATCTAAAACATGTCATTGCTGTAGCACTACCAACATATACTCCTATAATTTTTTTCTTCCAAGTTCATTTCATACAACTTCAAAAATATTGTCTTTAGTGCTCGCTTAGTGAAAATAGCACATCCACAGTTTTTAAAGCCTTATTCTGAACATAAACAAAGCACAATTTTCTTCATCAGTAGATTAATCTCAACTAATAGCAAAGAAGGATGAGCTGTTTTTTTTAAAACCTGACGTTTGATATGCTCAGTCAATGAATTCAGAGTTCAGACGCAGAAATCGATGAAGAAATTCTGGAATTCCTCAATTTCCTCTCAAAGTTGTGGCAGCATTCGGAATGCAAGGTTTCACAAGTTTCTCCATTTTTTTCTCCTTTGCAATTAAAAGGGCTATTTAATAGTAAGCTTTCATTGCCTTTGAAGATTCCTGTTAATATTCCAATACTGTCCAGTCTTAAAACTGCAGAGAATTGTGCTCTGCAGAATACTGTTTTTAGTGGCATAACTTTAACAGTGTTTGGCATGTGTCACTGCCCAACACTTTCAGATAACTCAGCTGAAGAAGTTGACCCTATCTTCTGCATAATACATGAATCCATACTTGATAAAAGCCTCAAAAAATTTTTGGCTGCCATCTATAGCTACCTCAAAGGACAAAACAGAAAAACAAGGAGTACTGATGATGGAAGCATCTGGTCCCTCTTGCAGAGCGATGAATGACTTTATCAGCGGCAGCTGGGTGGCAGGGCAATTACAGGCATCCAGTTATGCCTGAGCCTCAACAAGTGAAATCTTTGTTCATTTTCTTTTTATACACCCGTCTGCCGCCTAAAACCTGACACCATTTAATGGTGCCCTTGGTCAATCTAAATGATCTTATTTTCATAATCCTCTGATTCTAGCTTGAAGAGTCAAGACGAACTCTAACTCATGGGATGGACAAAATGGAAGATGTAAATAAGTAAACTTTTCAGAGCTAAAAAGCCTCTTCTTATACAAAATTAAACTTTAAGGAATAGCAGTATAAATGGCACCATATCCACAACAAACATCTCTGGGTATCCAACTAGTTATACACCCCACTGACAATAGGCCTTACGCTGAATGATTCTTGCTCCATCTTTGTATTCCCACCAGCCAAGGAGTTCTTTCCAATTTATTTCTTATATTATGAAAAATTAAATCTTTTTTCTTTTTAACATTATAATACTAAATATGATTTTATAAATGATAACTCTCCCCATACCCTGCAATGCTGATATAATGCGTGAAGGGAGGGGGAGAGAATGCCTTTCTTTTCTATTCCTGAAAATCACTGACCTATTCCTTGAGTCTGTGAGTAACAACTCCCGACTCATAGCCCCTAAAGCTAAAAAAGCTTGATCACCTCCAAAGTAAGATTAAAATCTTGTTGAATTAGTAGCCGACAAGAGAGAATTTAACGTAACCAGAACTATGTGGTGGCTGATGTATAGCATATTAAATAAACCATTATATAAAAATAGTTCTGGGCTTCCCTGGTGGCGCAGTGGTTGAGAGTCCGCCTGCCGATGCAGGGGATGCGTGTTCGTGCCCTGGTCCTGGAAGATCCCACATGCCGCAGAGCGGCTGGGCCCATGAGCCATGGACGCTGAGCCTGCGCGTCTGGAGCCTGTGCTCCGCAACGGGAGAGGCCACAACAGTAAGAGGCCCGCGTACCGCAAAAAAAAAAAAAAAAAAGTTCCATATAATGCTAACTATTGTGAGAGTTTTGTATACTATGATTCTAAATCATGCTACTGTAAGGTGCATGTTTACCAATGAAAGGAAGTAACAAAACTATAAACTGTATAAAGAATGAAGGACTATGTCAGTTAATATCAGTTTACACATAGCCTACATAATTTTTACGTCTTCAGTGTAACTCCTATGTTTGGTAACACCATCAACCTAAGTTCTGGTATATGTTTGAAAATAAGTTTTATTTTTTAAAAAAATATTACATATTTTGAAAGGGATTATCTCCTATTTGTTTAACTTGGTTTTGCTGTTTATACTTACTAAGGTGCTTTATAAATAACTTCTGAGGTTTCAAATGAGTGTTAGCTGGTCTCCCCAGATGAAAAGACCACCTCTTTTCTCTTGTCTAAATTGGCTTTCAATTAAAATTTTGGTTTCAAAATCCTTTCTAGAGAATCCTAGCAGAGGAATGAAAGGTTACCTCCTCTCCTCAGCTTCAATGTACCAAAACCCAGAAATATAGGACATAGTTTCTTCTATAAGCAAACTTAATTATTACCCTGGGGGGAAAGCATGGTAGTAGGGTTTATTCTTAAATCATATTAATATGATGGAACTAGCAGTGGTTTGTAGTGAAGATTTGAGTCTTAACTGTGCACTTGCCAATAGTTACTGTGAAATAGGGGGTGATGATATTATCTAATATGTAATGCCTGTAGGGCAGTGTTCTGTTTTGTGTTTTGAAACCAAGTATACACCTGTGTACATATAATTTAAAAGTTTCATAAAACAATACTTACTGTGCTCCCATGCACTCTGATATTTTCTCTTCTGTTTCATTTAAAAATAATGCTGGGCATAATCCATTTATTTTAAGACCCACTAATTGGTCAAAATCTATGGTTTGAAAGTCACTGCTGTAGAAGAACATGAGGAAATACATTTTATAAACTGTAAAGCACTACTAAGACGTGAGCAGTTGCTGTTGATTATAAGACTTTTATGGACTTGAAGGCAACCTCTCCCTCCTTGGGTACTGCTAGGAGTCACATCCATCTAGGCTTCTTGACAGTATTCATGCTGTCATTGAGACAATTTTCTAATACTCAGATCAGGCCTAGAAAGCAAGGTATTAACCAAATCAGAACCCAAAGAAATGAAAGGAAACTAGAGGAAAGTCAAACTAAAGAAACATTTGTTCAGCGCTTTATGGTTTATAAAATACTTTCACATATATGATCTCTTTTAATCTTAACAAGCCTAAGGGAAAAGTAAAGCTAAGAGGTTGAGACTTGCCCAAGATTAGACAGTAAATTGCAGAGCTAGGTCATCTGATCCTAAATCCTTAACTTCTTCCACTCTGATAAAATACCAGGTAAGGAAAGTGATCAGGCCAAGAGGTTTATTCTGAACCATCAAAGATGTTTATGTCCTCTGCCTTTCTCTACAGGGAAAATGGGCCCTACTGAAGGTGGGAAAGTGACCCCAGACTTTGGGAGGGTGGGTGTGTCCAGTTGCTCTATTAGTCCAGGAATCACACCTGGATTTTTGGTCTAACCAGTATTAGTCCTCTGTTTTGATACTGCTTGTGCTGACGTCCTGAATGTCTGTTATCTACAAGTACTGTGGCTTTCCATTCCTATGTATTAAGGTCCCTGAGTCTTGGTCAGGTATAGACTCAGGACTCACATCAGAGGGAAATTAAGTACTGGGGGTGGGGGGGGGGTCTGTCACTTATACCCCCTTATACTTCGGTAGATTGAAAGGGAGTAACAACAGTGGTCAGCTCCCAGTTACTGTCTTTTGTCAGTTTCCTCTGGGGAAGCCAGTCAGCCTCAGCCAATGTCTCCTTCGTCCACATATACCCATCTCTCTCCACCCTGTGCCCCATCTGTCACAGAAGAAGAGGCTCAACTGCCAAGTCCCCAGCTCCCCTGGTTTCTCCTCCACTCCCTTCAAATCCCCACATTCCCTCATGCCGCTCACCTGGTACTCATGAACCACTTCCTCCGTTGGCACCACGCTGTGCTGTTTTTGGCTCCTGGATTCTCGACACACCACACAGACGGCCTCTTTGTCCACCTCACAGAATAGTTTCAGAGCTTCTTGGTGTTTGGAGCAGATGCCCTGATCATTCCCCTGGCTCCCTCGATTAGGAGTGGGGCACATCTGGCGAATTATCTGGACCGTGTTGGCCAGCTGCAAGTTGAGACGAAAGCTGCGACGCGTAAAGCTCTTTTGGCATTGGGGGCAGATGAACTGCCGTGGAGGGGTCGGGGGAGGAGGCGGGTGAGTGTCAGGATACAGCTCTTGGTCGTCCTCATCGTATTCTTCCAATATCTCCTCTTCTGGGTAGACGTCAGTTCTCAGGTCATGTCTCACGCCTCCCAGGTAAGAGTCCGTATCCTCCTCTTCTTCTTCCTGGTCCCACACATAATCCACGTTGTCCCAATCTCTTACGCCACCGTCACCGTCCCAGAGTTCATCATCCTCTTGGTCCTGGCACAACTCCTCGTCAGCATTCCCCTGGTATAAAACCTCTCGAATGGAGTTGCCACATCCACCGATGGCCCCCACCGCCTCGCCGTCCTCCTCCCATTCACCTTCCTCTTCGTCCCTGACTTCCTTATCATCTTCCTTGCCCCACAGCTGCGTCACACTCCCTTGGCAGAAGTTATGCCCGCAGCCAATGGATACGGGATCCTTGAAGTAATCCAGGCAGACGGCACACACCGCTTCCTCCTGAAGGGTCTGCGAGGCGTTGGGAGCAGCGGCATAGCCAGCCATCTTAACGCGCTGCCGGTTCGTATGGATGCGTCCGCTCACAGCTGAGAAGCGGGGGACACACCTGCAGGCCTGCCTCCAAGCGACGCTGGTGATCCAAAGCTGTCCCCAACCCTGCTCTGCCTACTCGGGCCCTCAGAGAAGCCTTGCGCCCCTCTCTCAGACTCTCCCCAGCTTTAAGCGCGAAAGCCCGAGGCCCGAACTCACAGCTGCCCTCGGAAGGCAGTGGGGGCGGAACCAGCTGCGGCCCCCACCTCCCTTTGAGACTCAGCGTGCAAACTAGGATCCCTTCACGTTTCTCGCCTCCCTTCCGGTTTGCCTGACCTGGCGGCTTCCGCCTCAGAAGCCGGCACTCCTCACCCCGCCAGAGGTGACCGAAAATGATGTAGGCGCGTTAGCCCACACTCGGGAGGGGGCGGACTGGGCGGACGGAGGGCCACCTCTCTATGGTTTCCCCCGGAAACCGGAGACACGACCCCCGGAAACCCCTGCAGCCCATCCAGCCGCCCCAGACAGGAAAGAGGGCCTGGTCAGAATGGGTGGAGGCGGCGAGAGAATCAGTTTAAGCCACTGAGCGCTCTAATCAGCCAGATGCAGAGGGTCCAACAGCCGCTCAGGAAAGCCCGTCCCCAGATGGACCCAAAAGGGTAGGGACTGCGGTGGCTGACCTCTGGTACTCTCGTGCACTTCCGGCCCCTCTGCCCAGAGGCCTTTGTGGTAGGGAGGATTCTGTCTGCACTGCTGCAGCGCTCGAGGGCGTGGTCTGTAGCAACCTGGCGGGATCGAGCTCACTGCGCAGTTGGGTGGCGGTGAGATCAAAGAATCTCGCGTGAAGACTTGGGTGCTTCCAACTTTCCTCAGACCAATTCACCCCTTTCTTGCTTTCTGCCCTCAGCAGGCACCAGCTTCGCCTGTGGATCTTTTTACCTCCATTTATAATCCTTCCATTCACCATCCACTCACCATGCATGCATGCATCCACCCACCCAAATAACCATTCATTTTTCATCCATCCCTCTATCTCTCCATCCATCCATCATAGGCATGCATAACCCATCCATCCATTTATCCATCCATTTTCATCTATCCACGTTATAGGAACAAAAAAATGAGTAAGGCATGATTGTTCTTTCAAGGAGTATAGAGTTATACGCGAGCGGTCATCCTTCACCCAACGTTCACAAGGTTTATTTTTTTCTTTTTTTAACTTGACCCTCAGTAAGAATTACATTGCAAGTACTGATCCAATACAGACTTGCACATATATGACAGAAACAAAATTGGGGGAAATTGTTCTTTTCCTTAGGGCGTTCAAGTCACTCCGATATGTTCTGTTCTACTTCATTAAGATGCTGTTCAACACCCGTTGGAGTGATTGCACCCCTCAATAATTGGTCACTTTGGTTTGAGGAACTCCACCTGCCCTAATGGAAACTTCAACGAGCCCTGGATCCCTTCCTTTCCCTCTCTGGGCCCAAGCTTGGACTCTTAAGTCCCACAGAGCAAGAATGGTAAACGTGCTATTCAACATTGTACACATAGCTCCTCTGTCATAGTGCTGAACATACAGCAGGTACTCCCTACATATCTGCTGAGTAAATAAATGGAACCCAACAAATTGCTACCATCAAGTCCTGCTGGTTTTTATCTCCTCAGATCTAGGTCTTCTCTATCTCTGTTCCTTCCAGCCTACATCTGACCCCATAGCTTCCAAATGGACAAGAAGTTTCCTGAAGGGTCACTTGGCCTCATTTTAAGTCCATCTTTCAGCCACCAGTACCATTCACCTGAGATGAAAATCTGACACTCAAGCCAAGTTGTTGCCTCTATGTCTTTGGGCATGTTGTTCACTCACCTAGAAGGCTCTCACCTCACTGCTTCACTTGGACATAATCCCTAATTAACCTTCAGGTCTCTGCCCAGGCATAATCTCCTGAAGGAGACTCTTCCCTGAGGCTGGCACCAGGCTATGTTCACATCCCAACTCTGTCACTCTCTGTATGACCTTGGATTAGTTTCTTAACCTCCCTGTGCTTCAGTTTCCCTATCTGCAACATAAAGATGATAGTAGCACACACGTCATGGGTTGTTGTGAAGTTGGATTAATTGTAAAATGGTTTGAACAGTGCCCACTGCAGTTATCTTTTTATCCTCATCACCTGCCACTATATTCCTTTCCTGTAGTAGATAAGCCTTAGAAGAAACTCTCCCTTATCTCCTATTCTCTCCCACTTTGAGTAGGGTCAAGTGATTTGAACGCTGAGGGGAAAAATAATACGCCATCTGTCATCCTAGGTTTTTTTTTTCTTCCTGGCCACAGTGCTCGGGATCTTAGTTCCCTGGCCAGGGATCGAACCCGTGCCCCCTGTAGTAGAAGCTCGGAGTCCTAACCACTGGACCGCCAGGGAATTCCCTGTCATGCTAGTGGTTCTGAGAGCCTTTTGTCTGGAGAGGGAGGGAGTTGAAACCCAGGTCTGACCTGCCTAAGGTGGGACACCTATTGGTGGTGTTTGTTAGAAAACTAGCAAGTAAACTCCCATATACAATCTGGGAACCATCCTGGAGGTCATGACTGACCCTGAGAAGCCACGGGGAAAATATGAGCCATGAGAACTGGAACTGAGTTTCAAGGCTGGAATACTTCCCCATCTCTGAATGCAGGTTCTCCCCTACACATGGAAGCGGGTGGGCAAAGAGCTGGGGAGCAGACCAAGGGAAGAGGGGGCTGCTTATAAAAGTTTCTGCTTGCCCCAGGGAGCAGAGCCCCGGTGGGAAGGAGAGCTGGAGAAAGAGCAAGGGGGAATGGGTGGAAGAAGATGGTGAGAGAAGGCTTGTGGGATCATCCTGAAGGAACTGTCGAGACTTAAAAGGAACATAGAATGGACACTCATTATCAAGAATACCTAGGTGAATAAAGACCTGTAAAGTTCAATACCTATTTTATCTTCTTTTTCCTCTGAATTACGTCTCCTCAAATCCGAGTGACAGCTGGGAGAGGGGCTTTGTTTAGATTCCCTCCGGCTGTGAGGCTTAGCTGTTATTTATGCGGGTATACGGGAGGCTTGGTTTTAAGCCCTCTTGCAAATTCCGCATCCTCGGCAACGAGGCACACTCTTCTATTCATAGGAAGACTGCTAGCCTTCTCCTGAACTCAGTTGGGAGCTGTGGGCTGTTGGCGTAGACCATTTGGCACACACAGGGCCTCAGGTGCCATTGTCCCAGGGGCACTGGGAAAACAGCTGCAGCGGAGGGCACTCAGGAACGAGGGCTCAGCAATGGTGGTGGCTGCCAGTGCGTTTTTCTCAGGACTCTGATTTCAGAAAATGTATCCATGGAAACTTACATCAGCCTTTTCAGGCTGAAGAACCCCACACAACTGCAGATGATTAAATTCCAGTTTATGGTGAGGAGGCAGGTACTTGTCACACAGACACTGGGGACCACTTATCAGAGAGGCAGTCTAGCACGGGCTTGGTCACACAGGGGTTGGCAAATCTGGCCCTCGGTTTCTTTTTGTGAGGCCCAAGAGCAAGGAACAATTTTTAAATTTTAAAGGGGTTGTAAAAATAGAAAACAAAGGTGAATATTAGGACAGAGACTGTATATGGCCACAAAAGTCCAAAATATCTACTATCTGACACTTTACAGGAAAAGTTTACTGACCCCTGTGCTAGGAGGCTGGAATGGAGGACCTCCAGAATGCCTTCTGATGTTACAATTCTGGTTTGTTGCTCCCCTCTGGGTTCAAGACGCGGGCTCGTCCCCAGCATCCTAGCCCTCTCTCCTCCCAGTCAGATTCCAGAGGTCCTGGCTGGACAGAGTGAGTATGACCAGTGGGTCAGCCTTGCTTTTCCTTAAACTCAGGCCCAGCTTCTCCTCTGCCCCTGCTGCAGTGCAGATAGCTCTGGCTTCCTGGGTCTCTTCCCTGTCCTGGCTCTGTCACTGTGGAGCAAACGTGCCTGGAGGGGCTAGGAAATTAGAGGAGAAAAAAACGACCAGCCCAGGGCTGGGCCTTCCGGTTGGCCTTTGTCGTATGTTCCCATCTGGCCAGGCCCTGGCTCCCTGGATACGTCCTGCATTATTCATCATGGTACTCATGGCAGGGATGGCCAGGTCTCCAGGGTTCTGGAAGGCCTTGGGGGAGGGCAGGCATGGCTGGGACAGTGAGGGTAACTGGGGGAGTGAGGCTGCATCGAAGATGGCTTGTAAGAAAGGCTTGCCATTCGGCGAGTTTGGATTCTAATGGCATTCACTGAATACCCATGATTCATTATTATTCATTCATGAATTCCTTCATTCATTTGACACATAATCACAAAGCACCAGGCCACACTGAGCAGCCAGAGATTCTGCTCTGAATGTAGTGGACCCTGAAAAGTTGTGGTTTGGGACAGGACTCCTGAGTTGAGTGGTCAGCATGTGAGATTTGTGCAAAGGGGGGTGCAGAGGATATCAGGGTGGCCTGAGGCCTTGAAGTCTGGACTCTGCCCACAGGGTGAGCGAGGGGTGGGTCTTCGGGTGGAGATCCCACAATTCTGAGCCCCAGCCAGCCCGGTCTGGCTGACAGAGGGAAGCAGTTCCCAGGAGAGGTCTGTGGCAGTACCCTCAGGACGCAAAGTCAGTGCCCTGCTGACAAGTTTCTCACCTGGTAGGGGTGGCTGAGGAAGGAACCCAGGAGAGAGGCTGGCAACCTGGCTGGTCCAGTTGGGCCCATAGCCCCGGACTTTGGTTGAAACCACTGACAAGCTGCTACTAAGCAGAGAAACAAAAATGAGGGTGGAGTAAAGCCTGGGTTAGGGGAAACGGCCATGCTCTCTGGGCCTGTTCCTTCCTCTGTGGAATCAGACTCAGGACCCCTAGGTTCACTTCCTACCTGGCTGGCGGGTGCTAGTTGAAGCATCTGCCTTTGCTTCCGTTTTTGCAGGTGCACCAGACTTAGACCAATCTGTGTTGGGGAGGGGGTGGGAGGTAAGAGAGAGACACACTTGAGAGAGCTCACAGCCTGGACAGGAAGGACTCTAATGTGAGAGGCCTCAAGACCTCAGCAGAGGGGAGTCGCATGACGGGGTGGGGTAGTTAGTGAGAGTGTCAAATTATCAGGGGCTCCTAGAGATGCTTTAGCATCCCTTTAGGTCTTAAATCTCTTATTTTTTATTTTTATATACTTTTTGGTTCTTTCCCCTAAAATGTATTTTATGGTTCCACGGGCAAAACACTGAACTAGCCTCTAAGGGAAATATGATTAAAACAAAATTAAGTTGCAGTTGCTCAGTTGCCGAGGATCTCATAACCCAGTTATGGAGCAGACACTTCCGGAACGTCAGGACGGTGGCGCCATTGGCAGCATAAAGGCTGGTAGGTTCTGCCTGGGGTGCGAAGTTGCGGTGAGGGCTGCTTCAGCAGGGAAGGGTTAGTAGGACTCAGGAAGGGGGAGGAAGGGCCCCCAGGCCAGGGTAGGCATAGCGGCTGTCCCTTCACCTCAGGCACTTCCGTCTACCAGTCCCCTGGTCCCGGAGCTCCAGGTCTTCTTGCAGATGTCGTGTTCTGGTGAGAAGGCAGGAGGCTGAGTGGACAGAGGGTGAGGAAAGCCAGCAGGAAAAGGCCGCGAGGCGCAAAAACTAGGGTTTGCTGATGGATATCCAGGACAGATATTGACCGCTTGGCCTTTGCCCGCTGGTAGTTTCTAAACCAAGTAGCCAGTGAGGCTAATGGAAGAGCGAAATGACTGTAGCCTTTGGGTGGCAGGTGCCTGGGGCCCTGCTACTGTCCTGTAGGGGCTGTTGTGGGACTGTTCCAGTCCATGGCCTCTCTGCCCCTTTTCCTCATCTGGAGGGATGGTCCTATAATCCCGCGGCCCCAGAGGTATTCAGGGTCCTAGACACAGAGAAGCACAGAACTGGACGGGAACTTCCGGCCCATTCTGCCCAGGGCTTGCACTTATAGAAGCCGGACCCTCTATCTAAGGCTCCCTGAATATTCAATGCCCTTGCGTCAAAGAAGCCATGCAAATTGCCAGTCTAAGGTCTACACTTGGCTGGGCAGGACCAAAGCTGAGGAGGTGGGTCTGGGAGGTGTGTAGAGGAGCGTGAAGCCTTGGCGATATGTGTAGGGTACAGAAAGGTGACACAGCTGTACCAATTCAAAGAGAGAATGACTGGCCAGAAGCCTCCTCCAATCTGCTTCTCCCCAAACACACTCTGCCTCTACCCCTTTCCCAGGGAAGAATGTTTCACTTCTGCTCAGGAGGACCTAAGTGCATCCAGGGCTGAGGGAACCTTGAGGGTCCACCTGGGCACTTGTGCCTCCTATCTGTAGGGGCCAGACCTGCCCCGTTTCCTAACTTGTCTCACCAGTCAGACAACTGTAAAAATAAAACATGTTTATTGCTGCAAAACCTTATTAATACAGGTCCATAATCTCTTACCCGAAACCCTTAGGGCCAGATGTATTTCAGAATTTAGAATTCTTTGGGCTTTAGAAAGCTACCCAGGTATGGATGCTGAATATTACATAATACTACCAGAGGGGTCTGGGGTGACGCCCCATAATCCCCCAGATCAATATTTCTGTGGAAAATTGTGAAAAGGTGCACTAGAAGAATAAATGAGCATGAATAACACTTTTTTTGGGGGCCACACCGCACGACATATGGGATCTTAGTTTCCCGACCAGGGATCCAACCCACGCCCCCTGCAGTGGAAGCACAGAACCTGACTTCACTTTAAGGTTTTTTGTTTGTTTTTCCTCCCACCTCTCTCCCAGATCAGTTTTTTTTTTTTTTAGTTTTAGTTTAATATTTATTTATTTATTTTTGGCTGCGTTGGGTCTTAGTTGCGGCACACGGGATCTTTCCTCGTGGCACACAGGCTTCTCTCTAGTTGTGGTGGGCAGGTTCCAGAGCGAGCAGACTCAGTAGTTGTGGTGCACAGGCTCTCTAATTGTGGCACACGGTCTCAGTAGTTGTGGCTCATGGGCTTAGTTGCCCCGCGGCATGTGGAATCTTCGTTCCCCGACCGGGAATTGAGCCTATGTCCCCTGCATTGGAAGGCAGATCCTTAACCACTGGACCACCAGGAAAGTCCCCCAGGTCAAGTTATGATGACAAAGTTAGGAAGAAACTTCTGGCTTTTGGCGTTTTTTTTGGATTTCAGAATTGCAGATAAGGGATTGCAGACCTATACTTGCTTGCCTATTTACAGAACAGCACAGTTGTCATTGAGACTTTTGGTGCAGTGGCCAGACTACCTGGCCTCACATCCCAGCTCTGGCATGAACCAGCTGCGGGACCCTGGGCCTCAGTTTCCTCACCTGCAGCACAGGAGTATTAATTCTCCCGCACAGGTGTGCTTTGAGGATTAAACAGCTTAGTATACAGTACAGTGCTCAGAACCCTTCTTAGTATGTGGTTTGCTCAGCATATATGGAACATGACAACATCACTGAGAAAGACAGACATTTAAGACACGTCTTCAGGACAATCTGATAATTACAAGCTCACTGCTGAGGTCCTGCAGGCCACCAGGGCAGGCTGAATCTTTTTCTAGTATTACAGTCGTTCACATCCTCAGGCTTGGAGCCTCCCAGGGCTGCAGACACGGAGGTTTCAAAAGTCCCCACAGGAGGCTCTGTCACACCTTGGGGTCAGCTGAAGGGGAGGCAGAGGGTGCCCTGGGAGGGGTCTGGCCTTGTGTCCTTTGTGAGCACTCCCTCTCTCTGCCAGGGCTCTGGAGTCCCAGCCCCTTAGCACATCAAATGGCCGTGAGACTGGATTCTTGTTCACAGAGGAGACATGGGGTTTCTGGTCCACTGAAGATGCAAAGGTGAGGCTGGGCCTTCTCCAGACATATCCTTCACAAGCATTTCCACAGGACACAGCGAAAAGGGGTCTTTCCCTTATTTAACAGTAACACGTGCTTATTGCAAAAATTCAAATCATTCAAAAGGACAGGAAATAATGGAAAATATGGCCTGTGTTGTTTCTCATCCTCCAACTGCCTGGGACCAACGAACAGGCCCCCAGGCACCTGTCTCTCTGAGCTTCTCCTCATATACACAAGGACACCCACATACCACATACACACTCACCCTCACATACACCCTATATCCTCTCACCCTCACACATACACACCCACACACCCTCACATACACATGTTCCCACCCTTGCCGCCTCCCCTACACCCTCACAGCCCCAACACTCGAATCTTCCCAAAAGCGGATCAGACATACATAAAAGAACACGCTTATAAATGAGGCAGGCATTCAGCCATTTCTTGCTGACGCTAGCAGGTGCATGAAGGATGCTGCCCCTGTAACTCTTTGACTATTGTTCTGGTTCTTCCCTGACTGCCCAGACCCTTGGTTTTCACGTTCGGGAAGTGGGAATGAGAATAACATAGCCAAACTCTCACAGGGTGCCTGAGAAGCTCAAGTGGGATTTACACTTAACATGAAACCATTCTGCAAACTGTCAAGTGTAAAACAATCTGAGGAATTACTACTGCCCTTCTCCTCGTCCCCGGAACAGGAAATAATTAGACTTTTAAAAGGACTTCAGGAAGATGGCAAAGCCATCCTAGTGGCACAGACCACTTGTAACAAGACTGTTAGGGGTGAGGACGCCTCAGTTTCGGGGTGGGGTGGGCCCTTCACAGTCAGATTTCATACCAGCCAGCCAGTGCCGGGGGCCTTCAGGTCCCCAAACACCCCACAAAACACCTCCTTGATCTGTGACGGTGACCTTCAGTCAGCAGATGAGTGGAGTAGCCCCTGCTCTTGCTGGGCTTTGGGAATTATGGGGGTCCTCTCCACCTGCAGGGAGAAAGGAGGGAGGTGACCCCGGCTCCGGGATGGTGGGATGGGGCAGGAGGCTGAGGCCAGGGAAAGCACCCACCCCATGCCCCGCCCCCATCCTGAGTTCCAAGGCATCCCCGCCATGCTTGAGAACACCTGGGGCTTCCTCTCCCCAACCGGTCCACCCCACAGTCACCTGAGGCTTGCTCGTAAGATTCCTTATTTCTGGCTGTGGGGAAAGAGAACACAAGAGAGGAGGTGGGTGGTGTGTCCCCACCTTCTCCCTCCCGCTCCCGCTCTGGGCCCTTCCCAAAGTCAGGCCCAGTGGTGTCCCCTGACTGTGGGATCTGCAGGGTCCTCGGGGTGGTGTGCAGCTGTGGGGTGGGGACGTTTGGGCTTTTCCACAGGTGGGGGACAGGGGGCAGGACCTCAGCAGTAGTTGCTGCTCCCCAGGAGGGAACAGTTCTAGCTGCAGGGATGGGAGCACAGCATTCTTCCCCATAAGGCTGGACCAGCCAGAGGGCCTCCCACTCCTTTGTTTCTTCCCCACCTACCTTGAATGCACTTGGTCAAGGTCACACCACCAACAACCACCAGCAAGACCAGGATGAGGGAGATAACCACAGCAGTAAGTCCAGGATGAGAGGACTCTAAGAAAAGACAGAGAAAAGGGGCCCCCCCACCCCCAGTCCATGGGACTGTCTCCAGGTGCCCTGGGCCCTCCCCAGCCCCTCCTCACCCGCTCCGGGCCAAGCCCCAGCTCCTCACCCCAGGACACAGTGAGCGTGTGGTTCAGGCTGGAGTGCTGCACGCGGCAGGTGTACTGGGCCTTCTTCCCCGCCGGCACCCACACAGCCGCCCACGTCTGATAGGTGCCGTCCCCACTGGGGCGTGTCTCCGCACACTCGGAGTCCAGTTCCTTCTCCCCCAGCCACCAGCTCAGCAAGATGTTGTGTGGATAGAAGCCCAGGGCCCAGCACCTCAGGATGGTGCCGCCATCCTTGGCCGAGTGCTCTGTTATCCGCACTGTGGGTGGCTCTGCAGGGAGAGGGGGAGCGAGGAAGGCTGCTGAGTGCCTGCGCTCTGCCCATCCCTCATGCTTAATCCCGGGCTCCTCCCGCATCCTCCAGGGTGGAGGACAAGGAAATAGGGACAGGGTCTCTCTCCGGGGAAGGCACCCAATTACTGCTGCAAGCAGGGACAACCCACTGCCCACCATTCCAGAAGGGCACTGTCCCGGGAACTTCCATGAGGGGGATATGACCTCCTGCCCCCAACCTCCAAGGAGGGTCCTGGGTGGGGCTGTTGGGCCCTAGACTGACCCTCCCCCTTCTCCCTACAGAGACTCTAGGGTTTTCTCAGAGGCTTGACATACTTCCCCCTGTGACTTCCTGCATACAGGAGGTGCCTAATAAGACTTTGTTAAGTGAGGGCAAGAAGGATGATACTTCTCTGACCCTACAATGAGAATGGTTATGACTGTGGGCTCCGGAGCTGGACATCCTGGCCATGAAGCCCAGTCTGACTCTGGTCCACAGCCCTCTGCCAGCGCTCAGGGCCTTCCTTCATCATTCCTTCCGCTCAGAGTTCGAGTTCCAAATGACGTAATTCAGGGGTGATAGTTCATTTTCTGTATCCACTTCCCTGGTCCACGGGATGCCCAAGCATTTGGTCAAACATCCTTCTGGGTGTGTGATGGTGTTTCTGGGTGGTATTAACATTTGAATCAGTGGACTCAGTAAAGCAGATTGCCTTCTGCAATGTGCGTGAGCCCATTCACTGAGCTGAAGATCTGAACGGGACAAGGAGGCTGAGTAATAGGGAGCTCCTCTAGCCTGACTACTGAGCTGGAACACGGGTCTCTCCTGCCTTGAGACTCAAAAAATGAAACACTGGGCTTCCCTGGTGGCGCAGTGGTTGAGAGTCCGCCTGCCAATGCAGGAGACGTGGGTTCGTGCCCCGGTCTGGGAAGATCCCACATGCCGCGGAGCGGCTGGGCCCGTGAGCCATGGCCACTGAGCCTGCGCGTCCGGAGCCTGAGCTCCGCAACGGGAGAGGCCACAACAGTGAGAAGCCCGCGTACCGCAAAAAAAAAAAAAAAAGAAAAGAAACACTGACTCTTCTTGGGTCTCGAACTTTCCAGCATTCGGACTGGAACTACACATTGGTTCTCCCGGTTCTCAGGCCTTTGGTCTCAGACTGGAACTGCAACATCAGCTCTTCCTGGGTCTCCAGCTTCCTGACCGCAGATCTTGGACCTTCTCTACCTTCATAGTCATGTGACCCAACTCCTTAGAACACATCTCTTTTTTCCTCTCTCTATGCATCCTGTGGGTTCTGTTTCTGTGGAGAATCCTGACTAATCTACCAGGTGAAGGACAGAAGACAACACCTGGTGCTGAATGAGAGTTCCACACTACTTATTTAACGCACACCAATATGTTTGCTTTGGGGAGGCAGCAGGTATTATTACCATCCTCATGATACTGATGAGGAAACTGAGGCACAGAGAGGGCAAGTAACTTGCCCAAGGTCACACAGCCAGCAAATCCTGGAGCTGAGCTGTGTATCTAGAGGCTAGGCTCCAGTGCCTGAGCCCTGAACCACCACGCTCTGCTCTCATAATCACATCTTCTGCTCCTGATGTTACCTGTCCTGTCCTCCCTTTGAGGAATATCCTCCCCATTACCTCTGATTCACATCCCACTGCTCAATCACCAGACATCACGGTGTGCTGGGTGCTCTGATCAGCCCCACCCCCAGCAGCTTCCCTGACCACCACAGCCGCGAGGCTTTCACCCTCGGCACCCCAAAGCACCCACCTTCCCTAGTGTCCATCCCAGCCCTTGTGTCTCCAGCCCTGCTGACTGGGTTCAGGAGAAGTTTGCGATGTACCTGGAGTCCGGGGAGCATGTTTAGCATGAGGGGTATGAGGGAGGAGACGGGCAGAGGGCTTCAGTTTCCCTGGCAGTCCCCAGTGGTCCAGGGAGTGGTGAGGGATGCAGACCCTGGGGCCTGGGGTCTGTTTCCCAAGGAGCAGAGCCAAAGGATGTTAAACCCCAAAAGGATTTTATGAGCACCTAGTTTAACCCACTCGCTCTGTAGATGAACAAAATGAGGCCCAGAATAAGGGGGTTTATTCTCCAAGACCACACTGGGACAGGGGAGGCTCCACAACTCCCCACTCCACCTCACTTGAAGGCCTGTGGTCTGGGCTTTCTTCCTCCTCTGCAGGAAAAAGCTGTTGGCTAGCTGGCCATCTTTCTGGGTCCCAGTGGGCTTGTCTGAGCCAGGGGGACACTGCCTGCTTCCTCACCCCCCCCCACCCAAAGGCTTCTCTGTCAAATGGGATGGCTCTCGACAATGGGAGCATGGGGCCATTCTGCATTGCCACAGGGTGGGCCTTACCTCTCCGGCTGAATCTCTGGCCTCCCAGCTCCAGGTATCTGTGCAGAGAGGCAAGGCAGGGGCCTTCCAGGTAGGCCTTGTCGTACTCTGCGTAGCAGCGCTCTGTCTCCCACCAGTGCTTGGTCCGTATGGCCACGGGCTCAGCTGACACCCAGCTCAGGGTTTCCAGGTCCAGCGACAGGTGGTCCTGCCCATCGTAGCCAAACTGCCAGAAGCCCCTGTAGCGGCCGTCTTCCTGGATCTCACAGCCGAACATGCGCTGAGTACTGTGCATCCCTGTGTGTGCAGGTGAGAAGACTTTGGTTAGTGGTGGCCGGGGGTGTCAAGTCCCTGAGAGGCACGGAGAAGCCCACCACCCAGAGGGGACTCCAAAGGGTGGAGGGACAGGGTGTCAGCATTTAAAAAACAAAAACTGGGGCTTCCCTGTGGCGCAGTGGTTAAAAATCCGTCCGCTAATGCAGGGGACACGGGTTCTAGCCCTGGTCTGGGAAGATCCCACGTGCCATGGAGCAACTAAGCCCGTGCACCACAACTATTGAGCCTGCACTCCAGAGCCCGTGAGCCACAACTACTGAAGCCCGTGCGCCTAGAGCCCGTGCTCTGCAACAAGAGAAGCCACCGCAGTGAGAAGCCCGCGCACCGCAGCGAAGAGTAGCCCCCGCTCGCCACAACTAGAGAAAGCCCACGTGCAGAACTGAAGACCCAATGCAGCCAAAAATAAATAAATAAAATAAATAAGTTTATTAAAAAAAATCTCCCAAGTAATTTTGATAAGCAGCCTGGGCTGAGAAACCTGCTGGGCCTCTCATGTGGGATGAACACTCAAGTTCATATTTAGACACATCCTTATTTCATATCCCACACTACTTATGGGTGTATAATGTCCTCAGTGCTAAGACTACGTCATGCCATGCTTATCCCGGGGGCCCTGGGCTGGTGCACAGCCCTTCCCACGCTCAGTCCTTTACATCTACTCTTTCTTTTTTTTTGCGATACGCGGGCCTCTCACTGCTGTGGCCTCTCCCGTTGCGGAGCACAGGCTCCGGACGCGCAGGCTCAGCGGCCATGGCTCACGGGCCCAGCCACTCCGCAGCATGTGGGATCTTCCCGGACCGGGGCATGAACCCATGTCCCCTGCATCGGCAGGCGGACTCTCAACCACTGCGCCACCAGGGAAGGCCTATATCTACTCTTTCTGAGGCCTCTGGGGACCCGAGGCTTTTAGTTTGGTCATTTGGGTGTGTCTGGCCACAGAGCAGGAGGGTGTTGTGTGAACAAGCTGTGCTCCATAAGCACTTTATTGAGAATTAGCAGCAGCCTTGGTGGTAGCTGTAAGCTCGCTGCTGCTGAGATGGGGAAGCTGAGATGGCATCTCGAGGACCTGGGTGGGAAGGCGTGATCTGAGGGTGGTGCGTGAGGCAGGGAAAAGCCTCTCCCAGTCTGCTGAGGTCCAGAGCCCTGCGTAGCCAAGGGGAGAGGGGGAGCTATCATGGGCCCTCTGCTTCTGTGGATGCCTGCTGCACTGGCCTGTGGGCTGGCTGCTGAAGCCCTGATTCTGAGGCCCTGAGGCCCCTGCTTGGCTGTGGGGGAAGGAGACTGAGAAGAGCCAAGTATCAGAAGCTTGTCCCACACCCTATGACGGGCATGGCTGCCTCGAGGGTCAGTGTGCAGAGCGTGAAGCATGGGGAGTCCGCCCAACGCACCGCTGCTGTGGTTGTGGTAGCCCATCACCGTCCACATCTCCACCTGCTGCACCTCCGCCCATTTCTCCTGCTTCCTGGTCTCCGTCTCCCAGTACTGGGCATCCATTGGCGTCATCCACGGGGCCTGGGGCTCAGCCTTGCCCACACGACTGTCAAACCGGATGAAGGGCTGGTCGTCCACGTAGCCTACAGCCAGAAACTTAGGGAGGCTTGGGCCTGGCTCTGACAGGGTCAGGTAGTAGTAGTGGAGCGAGTGTGTCCCTGTGGAAACACAGGCTGGTCTCAGGCTCACATGGACTGCCTGGGTCTGCACTGGGTGGGGGTCGGGGGAGGGTGGTCAGTGTGCTGGGTAGGGTTGGCAGTGGAAACGTTTCCAGAGAATTCGTTATCAGCAAGAACTGGGAATTTCAGTGGAAAAAATAAGGGCATCCAAAGAGTTTAAATATAGACAGAATCAGTCAAACACTGAGAACAAAGTTCATGCATTAAGGCTTATGGGTTTTCTTCCCAGAAAGTTTCTCAGCTCTTCACTCAGGGCCTACTTACTCATACTTTATACTCATCTCTAATAAGTATGATTGTCTGGTTTCCCATTTCAAATTAAAAAGATTTCTTTTTAAGAGTTGGTTGTTTGGAAGCTTAATTTATGTGGAATTATTCATTGCCCAGACATACCTGGGAAAGGTTGGCCATCATTCTTAGCTTGAATCACTGCCGCCAAGCTGGTGGCATCTTGACTCCATTCCCCACTCCCTCCTGCTCCCACAGCAGATGTTACTAGTCAATCTCTTTTCTCTTTGAGTCCAAATGCTGCCCCTCTACTATGTCTCCAAAAGCGCCAACTCATCAGTTAAACTTGGTGCTGGAGATGAAATCTACTTAGCAGCCAGTCCTGACTCAAGCTATTAAAACAAATGCTGTATCTTAAGAAACTCAGGCCACATTTCTCAGAGATATCCCTGGCTTACTCTCTTACCTAATTTTTAAAAAACTTCTTGCTCAGAAGTTTTTATCCCTCAACACTCCTGTCTCTGTTATTTTTCTCCATAGCACTACACTTCCTAGAGAATATGCACTTTGTTTGTCTTGTTAATGGTCTGTCTCTCCTCTGCCACGTCAGCTCCCTAAGGGCAGCGATTCCTGTATGGATTGTTCTGTTTCCCCAGCACCTAGATTAGCTTCTGGCACACAGTAGGTGCTCAATGGTTGAACATTCAAGTGAGAAAGGAGAAGTCAAACACATCTCCCCACTCACAGCTCTTTTTTTTTACTGCCTTCTTGCTATTTCAGGCCACACCGACCTCTGCCCAGGCCCTCTGCACCTGCTGTTTCTTCTGCCCTGGGCACTCCCCTCTCTGTTTTCTCTCAGCCAGTTTCCTCATTCCTCAGGTTGCAGTAAGGTGTCCCCTCCTCCAGGAAGTCCTCCTGATTTCAGCCTGATGTCCCTCAGAGGGGTCTCAATAGTGTCCTGTGCTCCCTGTGAAACTGTGGACTCCATGAGGGTGGGCAATACATCTGACTCTGTCATCGCTGTTTCCCCAGGGCCTAGCAGCACAGCTGGCACACAGTGAGCACTTACTTCTGGCCTTTGTTGAACTGGACAAAAAATAAGAACATGAATCGCAGTGACAATAATCACAGCTGCCATTTTGGGAATGACCACTGTGTGCACTGGTTTAACGGCTCCTCACTCACTATCTCAGTTGATCTTTACAATAAACCTAAGAGGTCAGTGTGGTTGGCCCCATTTTACAGATAAAGGAACCGAGGTCCAGGGGAGGCCACGTATAGCACTCAAAGGCATGCACTAGAAAGAGGGCAGCCCAGATTCTCTCCCCTGAGTTCGCTGCCTTTTTCTAAGCTGAGGAAAGAGGTGTTCTCTTCTCACGGCTGGAGAAACCTCCTCATGGGAGGCAAGAGGGGTCCATGTTAAGAGTGTTTGAGTGAAGGGTTAACATCGGGTCTGGGCTGGTGTGGGCCTCCTGGGAAATGCCTGGAGTCTCTCTCACGGTGCTGTTTGCTTGCACACCATTGAGTTAAGATCAGTGTGGTGTGCTCCTGTGCTGGCAGCTGTGAACAGGCACAAAGGCGTTGGGGAGAACAGAGGCTACGGTTTCTCTGTGTCAAGGTGACCCACCCACTCCTTGGCTCTGATCTGCAGCAGCTCTACCTGCCCTGGAAGTGAGGGAGGGCAAAGATCCTGTGTCTTTGGGTAGCTGCTGGCCTCCTGGGTGGTGAGGAAGCCATGCCAGCTGGGCTTCCTGTCCTGCCTCTGTCTCCACAGCTCAGGAAGCATAGTGTGGTAGGCTGAATAATGGCCCCCCCAAGATATCCCTGGAACCTTTGAATGTTACCTTATATGGTACCAGGAGTTTTGCAGATGAAATTAAGGATCTTGAGATGGAGAGATTATCCTGGATTGTCTAGGCGGGCCCTAATGTGTCCTTAGAAGAGGGAGGCGGAGGGAGAGTCCATGACGTCAGAGGAGAAGGTGATGTGAAGATGGAGAAGAGAAAGATGCAGGAAGGCACCACGTGCCAAGAAATGCAGCTCTAGAAGCTGGAAGAGGCAAGGAAACAGATTCTCCGTTACAGCCTCTTTAGGGAGCCGGCCCTGCCAACACCTTGATCTCAGCCCAGTGAAACCCATTTTGGACTTCTGACCTCCGGAACTGAAATAGAAGAAATGTGTAGCTTGTAGCCCCCAAGCTGTGGTCATCTGTTACAGCAGCTACAGGAAACAGATAGTATTCGACTGAAGCCCATTAGGTCCTGAGAGTTTGGTGGCCAGTGAGTCCCGGGACCGGGGGAGGGTAGTGGAGGGGGGAGGGAGAGAGAGAGGGAGGAGAATGCACCATCTGGGAGCAAGGACATCCTCTGAAAGCTGTGCCAAAGACTGAGGGACACAGAAGTAGAGGCCCAGGAACCCTGGTGCTCCCATCACCTAAGCAAAGAGGCCGTGAAGGGACGGATGTGCTCTTCCCCAGGTGCAGAAAATGCAGGAAAGAGCAAGCGATCCTGAGGTCAGGCCTGGTGGGAAAGGGAGCAACACACACCTGGTTGTTCTGTTAGGGCAGGTGCACGACCTTGCTTACTATGTAATGTTACTATTTATTAATGTTAGCTGCTTTAGTGGCCAGTTATTTTTGGTTAAAATGAAGGGAAGTCGATCAATATATATATATATATTTTTTAAAATTTATGAAACACTTTTAAAGCACTTAGGGGCTGGCCCTGTCCTGAGCACTTTATAAGATGTTGGCCAGGTCATCCTCATAACAACTTTATCCGGAGGGTACTATTGTACCTATCTAGGACAAATGGGGAAACTGAGCCACAGGGAGGCAAAGCCACCTGCAAAGCTCACACCAGTAGTGAAAGGCAGGAACAGACTGCGCACCCAGATTCTCCAGGTGATCCTTGGCTTGCACCCACCCTTTAGTGAACCCACTTCTGGGTGACACTGAGTGGCTGGGGACACATGAGAAGGCCCCTCCCCATGGCATCTCTCCACTCTCTGCCCTCCCAAGACACCATCCTGGCTGCAATTTAAGATGGCTCAGCTCTGCTCATCCTGGCAGCCTAGATCATATGGCCCAGCAGGGCCCACCCTGCCGCCCCACTCAGCAAGTACCTTCTGAGCACCTACCGTTTGGCTATCTCCAAGGCCCTGGGGATGCTGGGATAACCCAAAGAGCCCCAAGTGCCTGCTGTCAGGAAGCTTACATGAATGTAGGATAAGCAAGATAAAGGAGTAAAATGTATGGTAGGCTGGATAGTGATAAGTGCTGAGGGAAAAAAATAAAGCAGAGATATACAAAATATCAGGGGAGGAGTTGAAAATTTTAGATAGAATGGGCAGGGAAGCCCTTCCCAGAAAGGAAACTATTAAAGAACTCAAGGAACCAGCATGTAAAGATCTGGGAGACAGAATTCCAGGTCTGCAGAGGGGAATGTCAGTGCAAAGGTCCTGAGGCAGGAGCATGCTTGGGGTGTTCTGAGGCTGCTGCAAGAATGCAGGGGAAAAATAAAATGGTGTGATTCAGTGTAGTAGGTGTAGGGGTGAAAGAAGGGGCTGAATTCTGAATCCTTCCCAGGCTTGTCCAGATGGTGTCTGGAATGGCCTGGATATAGCCCTCTGGCCTAGCCCTCCCTGCCACGAGGGCTCTGGTTCCTGGCATCTGCTCTGCCCTGGACTGCTTCACCATGGCCTACGTCCTGGCATCTGGTACCCATCCTGAGAGTCAAGGACCTGCTTTTAGGGCAAGTTCATGATTGTGACCCCCTCAGCTGACTTCCAGGTACCGTCTCCCATGTATCCAGGGAGGCGCCTGCCATCCCTTCCTCTCTGAAAATCCCACTGCTCTCTGCTCTGCCTGCCAGATGGTCTTGAGAGCCCAGCCGGCTCTCTGCAGGGGCTCACATCCTGCCATTCCCATCTTTTCCCCAGGAGGACCGTCTCAGCTGGGACTAGACTCCCACTTGCTAACTGGGCCCAGGAGGGATCATCATGCCTTGGGCTGCCGAGTGTGGCAAAAGAAGCCGAAGGAGGCCATCTCCTGGCTTTGGAGGTGATACCACCTGCCAGGCTGGGGGGTCAGTGCCACGCACTGTGGGACCATGGCAGGAGGAAGTGGGGGACACACAGCAGGCGTCCAGGGGGATCTGCTCCTGCTGTGACATGGCCTAAGGAAGTGGCTACATGCCCATCATTGCTTCAGGGCCTGTTTGTATCATCAGCTTCCCACCCCTGACCCCCTCCACTGCCACTTCCTGGTCACTGGGCCATGTGGCCAGCCCCCAACAAGGAGCAGTCCTGCACCCGCTTTGGCCCAGCCTTTTACCTTCTCTGACTGTGGTGGAGGAGGGAGGAGGCCAGCCCCTTTCCCACTCTGCCCAGGAGACTTTTGTGCATCTGCCTCACTTCCCCCACAATCCACGTAGCACTGCCAGTTCCTAGCTGCGTGGCCTTGAGGAAGTTATTTCACAGCTCCAAGCCTTGGTGTCCTCATCTGTAAGTGGGTGCAATTAACTGACCTGCTCCAGAGTGCTAGAGCATTCGGTGAGATAATGAAAATAAGGAAGAAGTACAGGCATGGAGACCTCATCTTCTTAGTCTTAGAGCTTTCCTATTCCAAAGGGAGAGGTGGCTGTGGGAAGGAGAGAGCTGGAGTCGGGGGTGGGGAAAGATGACTGAGTGAGGGGCCAGCTCACTGGAGGTCAGGTCTCATCCCCTGGGACACCCTCCAAAGGCTCTGGCCTCTGTGTCCTCTACCCTGGCAGAGTTCCCCCACCCCAAGACAGTATACCAGATTCCAAGACTGTGCACACGGCCTCCTGCAGACTGGGGGCTCCTGGCCTCCACCATCCTACCCCTTGTTCAGCAGATAGGCACGATCTTACCTGTAGGCCATGGCTTCTTTTCCAACTTCAGGTTTGCCAGTTCTGCCATCACCACCTCTGCCCTGGCCGCCGGGCTATCGGCCACCAAGGGCAGCCCCCAGGGACTCTCTGCAAGGGAGAAACGGAAAAGGGAAGTATGAATCTCAAGGTATAAACATCCTACGCATCCTTGTGTCTGCTGGGAGAGATAGTATGGAATGACGATGAGAGGCACGTTGAAAGGGAAGAGGGATGTGGGGCCTTTGCCACAGGAGTGGCTGGAAGCTCCCCCCAGCACCCAGGCACAAAGCCAGCAGGGCTGAGGTCTGGGCCTCGGTGCCAGGCGTGGTTCCTGAGCTCTACAAGTATTGATTCGTGGTGTTTTCCCTGCATTCCTGTGAGGCAGGTCTTGATTGTTCCCACTTAGAGAGGAGGGAAACCAGGACTGGGCTTTGCTAGAGGTTCTCCATCCGGCTGCCCAACGCTGCTTTGACTATCCTGCCATTGATATGGATTTAGTGGATTTGGGGGTAAGGGAGGGCTGCACACTGGCGGGCGTTGAAAACTCCCAGGTGATTCTCATGTGCTGCCCAGGTCCTCCTGGCTCTGCCCTGCCCACCTGCTCAGCTGTGCCAGCCCTGACCTCTCTCCGCTTGCAATATTACTCATTTGACAAACATCTATTGAGCACCTACTACAAGCCAGGCACTGAGCCAGGTGGGGGTGTGTGTGGGGACAGAGAGACAGACATAGCCCCCAGGGAGCTCAGGTCTGGCAGGGAAGGGGACAATCGAGCAATTACACAAGCAGATCCACTAAGGCCAGTGGGGGCTGACAAGTGTCGGGGAGCAGAAGTACCAGGTGCCGGGGGCATCCTGGGGCAGGAGGGTGCCGAGGTCAGGGGTCTTGTAGGCTGAAACCTGGAGGAGACCTCACCAGTGTGAGTTACCTGGCAGTAGGGTGCGTGAGGAGGGAAGGAAATGTTGGGCTCGTGTGAGTCTAGTGTAGTTTCAGAACTTGCTGCATCAGCCTCGCCCGGGGAAATGCAAATTCTTGGGCCCCAGCCCTACTGAGTCAGAAGCTCTGGGGGTGGGTCCTAGCTTTCTGTAGTTCAGCAAGCCCTCTGGGTGATTCTAAGGTTTGAGAACTGCTCTAGGCAAAAGCACTAGCACATGGGAATGCCTGGAATGAAAAAGAGTGTGGTGTGTTCAGGAAAACCAAGGTCAAGGGACGACTACAAATGCAAGAGATGAGTCTGGGGAGGAAAAAAAAGGGCTAGATTGCCTCTTCGTGCCTCAGTTTCTCCTTGAGGCCAAATTGGGTCAGGTCCTATGGGCTGGAGTTCAAGGGCAAGGTCTGGGCCACAGAAAGGGTGTGGCTGTGGACAGCAGGGAGGGGACCCTGAATCCCTGGCTTGGATGAACCTGAGATGGAGTGCAGGAAGGGGGAGGCAGAGTAACAAGGGCACGCAGAGTCACATGAGGAGGAGGGTGGAAAAGGGAAGAGGGAGACCAGAAGCAGTCTCAGTGGTCATGGCCCTTGAAGTTCTATAGGACTGGCCTCTGCAGTCCCTCCCCTAGCCTGCCCTTGATGCTGCTCCTGTCTCAGTGCCCCCTGGTTGCCCAGGCCAGATACCCAAGAGTACGGCCCTTACCCTGCTCTCACCCCCACTCCCCAGGCCCTAATTCCAGCTTTGCTGTAGTAACCAGCTTTGTAATCATTTATCTCTACTTAATCTGTCTCTCACAGCTTTGATCCCAAGGGCCACGGATTAGTTCTGCCATCTCCTCTCACCGGGCCAGGACTCCCTGCCTCAGCTTCTGCCTGAGGCAGCATGGGCTCCAGAGCCAGCCTGGAACCCAAATTCTAACGAGCCGTGAGACTCTGGGAGACCCTGGGTAGCCAGTTAACCTCTCTGAGCCTCAGGGTCCCTATCTTTACCATGGGGATAATAATTGAATCCTTGTCATAGGATTCAATTCTAAGCTGCTATGAGGCTTAGAACTCCCTGCTGCATGACTCATGACATCTGCCCCTTGAAATCCACTTCTTCATTCCCTACCTCCTGCAGGGAAAGCCTGGCACCCAGGAGTGTTTGAGGGGCCTTGCTGGAGATGCCTAGCTACCTCCCTGCCATGTGCCATCTCTTTCCTACAGTTTGGTACGCACCAGGGTCACCCTCCATTCCTTCCCTCCTCCTTGGGTTGGGGACCTGTCCCCCTGGGCCAGCCTTGACCATTCCCCTCACAAGGCTACAGGCTCTATGCACACACACCCATGACCATCCCTGCCACGCAGAACTGGAATCGCCTATGCGCCCCTGTATCACCCCTGGGGGGAGCTGTAAGAAGGATCCTCAGGGGCTGTGTGAACCTGAGAACCAGGGCTGGTTACAGTCTTGGCCCAGAGACACAGTGTAACCAGTCCTGGTTTTCAGGTTCACAGCCCCACTCCCCTGGGGTCCCTGTTTCAGGGACACTGGCCAAACTCATCCCCATCCCTGGCTCCATTCTCTCCCCTGATCTCCTGCCCAGACATCCAGGGTGATTCTCCTTCAAGTGTTTCCCATGGGGAGCTGAGGGCTGAATCCTCCTGGAGATGCATCCTATTGCGTTCAGGAGCCTCAACTTGGAGGGAAAAAATAACCTCTTTATTTTCACTAACCTCTAGCTGAAGTTTGGCCTTTCTCCCATGCTGAATGGAGGTAACAGAGCTCAGCAGGATTTGCAGAACCTGTGCTTTGGTCTCTGATAGAAGCCACAGATGTTTTCGAATCACGTGACCGTTGTTGCAGACACCTGGAAATATGCTTTACCCTCACTACTTCCAAATTCTGGGAATTGTTGCTATCTAATGCATTCTTTAATGTACTAACTTAGAAGCACATATATTACATATCACAAACTTATATTTCTATTTAAATTTTTTAGTAGCTTTATAAAAACATAACTGGGTTCCTTTGGAATCCTATGTATGTCATTTTTTGTGTTAAAAACATTCTGAGACAGGGTCCAAGCACAAAAAATCTAAGAACTCCGACTCTGGATCCCAGTGCTGCCACCTAGCGCCCACTCTGGGCCCTATTTTAAATCTGTAAATTGTAAATTTTGTGTGTTCTAAGAGCCGAAATGGCTTCTTGAACGTGAAGCCCTTGGAACAGAGCCTGGAATAAAGGACATCAGCTATTATTACTGCCATGATGGTGAACACTTCCCGCCTGTGCTAATAAACTTTCGGGCATCTGTGCGGTCAGGGTGGGCGGTGCTCGGTGGTAGCGGTCGGGAATCCCGGGGGAGGTCCGGCCCAGCAGTTTTGCGCGCAGAACGGAAATGGCTAAAGGATGGAAATTCCCCGCTAGGTCAGAAAAACCCTTGTTGCTCCTTGATGCTCCACATCACCCGCCACCTCAACAAGGGGTTGCCCGGGCAACCCGAGGGAACCTCGCCAAGGAGCCAGGGAGACCTATAGCGATGGGCAGGTGCCTCGCCGAGCTAGCAGGCGGAGGCTGTGCAGGCGACGCTCAGGTTCCTGCCTCCACGGAGCTTCCCCAGGGCCTTCCTGGAGGACCCAGCCCTGGGAAGTGAGCGCGAGCGGCGTCCTCCAGAGAGGCCAAGGGACCCCCAGGAAGCTGTGGCGTCGGCTGGGTCCCCCGGGGTCCCCACCCTCCTGACCGCTCAGTCCGATCAGGGGTCTGAAATGGGAGGCGGCAAAACAGGGGCCCTGCCTAGCCCGGGGCTCAGCGACCCCTGCGATCTTGGATCAGCTCTCCGATTCACCATCCGGCCCCCTCCCCAAAACCCAGAATAGCTCCCGCGTTCTTGGTGGATCTCTCCCTAGCACCGCCACAGGCGCGAGGCTGGGGGACGATTGGGGGTCCGCCCCGGCTCCCACACCTCTCCGCCCGGTTACCTGCTGCGCCCTCCCGCACCAGTCCCGACAGCAGCAGCAGCAGCAGCAGCGGTGGTGGCAGCGGCGACTGCCGGTCCCGCGCACTCCCGGGACTCTGCGGCCGCCTGATCGGCAGCCTCACACGCTGCCCCAGGGTGCCGGTCCCGGTGGAGTCCGTCTTCAGCTGTGGGGCAGGGGCCTCGTGCCAACGCCGGCCGCCGTCCGACAGTAGGACGCGTCCCTCGCCGGGGTCCGGGCGGGAGAGCGCTCAGTGCCCCCAGGGCCGCGGCAGCTGCGACCCCGCCCTGGCTCAGGTTCAGGCTCCGGCCGGGCTCTGGCTGCGGCTCCACCGCACGCACCCTGGGGCCCGCCCTCAGGTCCTTGATGGCGCCCTCTGGTGGGCTCGGGAAAAGAAAACATGAAAAAACCCCAATTGTTTGCGGTAATTGTGAAATACAGCACATATGCTTCTTCACTGCCTCACGAAACGAGACCACGAGACCAGGCAGTGAAACTCAAGTTACAGCCATTTGGAAAGTCGGGCGGTGTCTGAGACAACTGTCATGTGATACGAAAACACCTGTGGTTTCTGTTGGGACCGAGGCAACGGTCCTGCTAACACCACTGAGCTTTGCTACCTCTACTCATCACGGGATGAATGGCTAAATTTCAGCTAGAAGTTAGTGAAAATAAAGGTTATTTTCCCCATCTGGGTTCACAGACCCCCTGAATTCTGACCAGGGATTCCCATGTTCAGGATAATAGTTTTCAGCTGGGCCTTTTCTGATATTTGAAAATTCATAGGAAGAGCTTTGGTGATCCTGATTGGGGCGAGTGAGGGGAGCAATTTACACAACAGAGGGAAAGGCCAGAAGTACAGCTTTGCGCTGTCTCGGGGCCACCACACACGTGGTGTCCTGCCAAGCCAACAGGAGAGGAGAAGCCGGATTGGAACGATCTGAGTCTAGAGCACAACGTTTGTTGCATTTTAATATTGTCAAGAGAACACAAGGAGGGGAAAGAATAGAGGAAGTTGGGCATCAGAAAAATCTAGTTAATCGAGGGATGTCCCTGGTGGCACAGTGGTGAAGAATTTGCCTGCCAATGCAGGGAACACGGGTTCGAGCCCTGGTCCAGGAAGATCCCACATGCCGCGGAGCAACTAAGCCCGTGCGCCACAACTACTGAGCCTGTGAGCCACAACTACTGAGCCCACGTGTCACAACTACTGAAGCCCGGGCACCTAGAGCCCGTGCTCTGCAACAAGACAACGCAATAAGCCCACGCACTGCAATGAAGAGTAGCCCCCGCTTGCCACAACTAGAGAAAGCCCGCACACAGCAACGAAGACCCAATGCAGCCAAAAATAAATAAATAAAAATAAATAAATTTATGAGAAAAAATTCTCACCCTTCACAACCTTTGGGTAAGTTTCATCTACCAATAAGGTCTTCACTGCTCTGGCCTGAGAGCTTTGAGGGGAGGAAGGAGGAAGGAAGATGGTAAACAGGCCTCCTTCTGTGGGGGAGTGCTGGCTACCATCACCTGAGAGCAGGAAGGAACCACAAAGTTCACTGAGCTGGAGCCCTTGCCCTCTCTCACACTTCCCCCACCTTCCAAGTTCTGCTTAGCTCACCTTCAGAGAAAGATAAGGCAAGAGAAGAAATACTAAAAGTTGTCCAGGTCCACAGTCAGGAGGGACACTGGGGCGTGTGTGGTGTGGAAGGAGAGAGGAGTTGAAGTGGATGAGGGCTCCTGGCCAGTGAGGACGTAAAGCTAAAGTGACCATGGTCCTGGCAACCTTATCCTGAGAATCCTGCCTTATGGCAGCAAACCCATGAAGAGGGTGTTAATGGAGGGGAAGAGAGAGCTACAGGGGGGGTGCGGGGTGCTGGAGCTTCCTGCCAGAGAGTCTTTCCATCCACACCTTGGACCAGGAGGAGCCACACGGGGTACCCAGCTTTGATCAAAGGTACCCAGCCTTTGATCCCTTCCAGGATGAGAGGGTGCATTCCCTGTCCCTGTCCCCGCCCCGGTTTCTGGGGGCAAACCCCGAGCAGCGAATACTTGCACCCCAGGACTTCTGCTCTGGGAACCCAGAGCACCTGGGTTTTCACACTCACCAGCACCGTCCCCTTAGAGCCCCAGATTTCTGTGAGTTGAGGACCCCCTTTACACCTGCTTGAAATGCCTCACCCGGGTAGCCTCTACTGCTGGTAAAATGACTCTTCTATACATCTGATCTTTGAAGTTCTGGAAATTCACTAACCACAGAGGTAAACTGTAATCTACCGAGAGTTTAGCAAAGAGTTTTGCTTAGAAGATGTTAAAAAAAGACAAGGAAATGAAGGAAGGCTGATTAACTGAGATGACACACATTTGAGAGTGCAGGTGCACAGCAGGTGTTCCATCATGTTTGGAGCTGTTTTTTGTTTTGTTTTGTTTGTTTATTTTTAATTGGGGTATAGTTGCTTTACAATGTTGTGTTAGCTTCTGTTGTACAACAAAGTGAATCAGCTATATGTATACATATATCCCCTCCCTGTTGGACCTCCCTCCCACCCCCCCTTACAAGTCCCAGGACAAGACCTGAGTTAAGGCTGCTCTATGCCACCTGCCTCCAGCAACAGGATGGGAAATGGAGGAGGGTCTGGGACTCACATCGGAGGAGGCAGGTTGAGAGAGGCAGCATGGAGCCCAGCTGGGTTAGCAAAATGCGCCACGTTTCTGTTCTTCCAGTCAAGGAGGCATTTTGTAAACAGAAACATCTAGTCCATAAGTGAGACAAGGGGGTGTGTTTGCACCTCCGGGGCAGGTCTTGGCAGCACCTCTCAGCTTGCTCTCCAATCCATTGAGTTCTGGTCACCCAGAGCCACAGCCTTATTTTGAAAGGAGACACAAGAGAAAGACAGTTCCTCACAGCCTCTCTTGTACACTGACACTGGCACTCAGGTAAACTCAGGTGAGTGCGTGTACACTCGAGGGGGAGGAAGATGCCCCCAGAGAGCCCCTGTGTCCTGCTACATCCATTGACGATAATGACGTCACTTTACCTGTGAACGGTGTTTCGCACCTTACTGAACACTTTCGAAATTTCATGTGGTCCTTGTACCAGTGTGGAGGTGCATGCAATTTACCCCCGTTTTCCAAGTGAAGAGATAAAGATGTAGACAGGTGCTGCTAAATGTGGAATCAAGACTCATGTGCCATGTGCACTTGCTCAACGTTAATTTCAAAATTAATTAATTTTCAGCCCTCTCTGTAGGAGGACAGCCTCTGTCCAGGAGATGGTAAAGCCCCAGGGTGGGCACTGGGATGTTCTTAGCCTAGTAGCCCCAGAAGACAGGCACGGGGTAGTGCTTCCGCCTTTGCTGAATGAGGTGTTGATACTGTGGATGCAAAGTCTCTAATCACGGGAGAAGCAGTAGGCAGCACAGCTTGGCCATCAGCTCCACTGGACACCGCTTAAACACTGATGGTCCCAAACCCTGCTGTTATACCTGGTGGGACCGTGGACACGGTGAGCTGCTGGGACGAGAGGCTGGAGGGACAGGTACCTGTCTGACCCACGGGCTTGCTCTGGTCCTTTGGGAACCTCTTCAGGAGGTAGACACACTCATGCCCCAGACCAGACTTCCTTTGCTTTTCAATGGCCATGCTGCCTCCCAGTTGCACTTGGTGTTGAGGGTGACATGATGGCAGCCATCAGTCTCCAAGTGATGTAGTCCTCCACATCAGAGCAAACTGACAAAACCCTTGGACGCTGCCATCAGCCGGGACCTTGAATCTGGCCATGAGCTGGAGAATGTGAACCCTGGAAGGCCCCAGCCTCATCAAGGGTGCTCTGGGGTGGGAGGTGGGGGGGCAGATGAGAACCCAGGGGTCACGCAGGCTGCCTCACACACTGGTTTTCTGCTCAAAGCCTGAGGACCCTTTCAGGTACCAACAAACTTATTTACAACTCAGTAATAGAGGCATGATGTAGAAAACAAACCTATGGTTACCAGGGGATAAGGGGTGGGGGAGGGATAAATTGGGAGATTGGGACTGACATATATACACTACTATATATAAAATAGATAACTAATAAAACCCTGCTGTGTAGCACAGGGAATTCCACTCAATACTCTGTAATGGCCTATATGGGAAAAGAATCTGGAAAAAAAAAAAAGAGTGGATATATGTATATGTATAACTGATTCACTTTGCTGTACGCTTGAAACTAACACAACATTGTAAATCAACTATCCTCCAATATATATTAAAAAAACAAAAATAATGATGCATATTCAAACACATTGTCACTATTAAAATTTTATTATTGAGAATATTTACTATTTGAAAAGGTTTTATGTATATTTCATATGCAAAATAAATGTTAAAGTGTAAAAAAAAAATGCCTGAGGAACTTTTCAAAACGTGCACTTTGTGCTTTTCGGGGACATTGAATGTGGATGACTGGAAGCCCTGGAAGCCCTCTGAGTCTGTTTTATGATCCTCCCCTCTACACAGTGCTTTTAGGTGAATTGCCCATTTTTCAGGGCTGCTTCCCCCACCCCAACCTTGACAGCCTATCCCTCCCCAGGGTACTGGCACTGGCCAGCCAAGCAGGGGCCGCATTGCTGCCCCCTGACCTGCTGGGTGAGGTGAGAGGCCCTGGACCTCAGGCCTGGGGTCTCTGCAGCGGGACGCCGTGCCGCCTCCTGAATCACTCACCTTGGTTGTCACTGAGGTAGCCCATCATGGCATGCAGGTAGTCCTGGAACAAGCACTGCCAGCCCAGCACCCAGGTCAGTTCTACTCCCAGGAGGCTCCCTCCTGTCTCGGAACCATGGCATCAAGGACTCCACGTTCTGATGCTCAGTGTCAGACTAGGTGACCATCCGGTCCTCCAGGCACATGAAGGCAATGTACCCAGGTATGCTGGGCTGAGCCTCTGATGCCACACGTGCAAGAACAACAGGGAGTGGAACACTGGGAAGGGCAGAGGGTCCCATCTCTAGGTCACAAGTGACCTGAGTGGTTCTGACATCACTGGTTCAAGCCCTTTGCGTGATTCCCACTTTAGAGATGAGGACACAGAGGCACAGAGAGGTTAGGACCCTGCTCATGATCACAGAGCTGGGAAGCAGTAGTGCTGGGTTAGAGGCCAGGCCATGAGGTTTCAGAGCACACAGAGGATCCCTGCAAACCTGGAGGGAAACCGCAGTGATTTTGCCACCACACTCCCACCCCTCAAGGACTCAGAAGCCCTGGGGTCCAGCCCCGGGTCGGTCCTTGCTAACTGTGTAACTTGGACACCAGTCTCTGAAATACTAAATCTCTTTTCTTTTTGAGGCAGGTGGGTGGGCAGTGACTTG